TCTCTTTTCCTCCGAAACTTTCAGTCTAACCTACAAAAAAACTTATTTATCTTTTCCTACCTAATAATTAATACATTTTAACACTGAAAGATAGATTTATTTGCTTCTAGTTAGTACAACTAGAGGGCTCATATTAAAAATAGAATCTCTGTCAAATTTCCCACTAAAGACACCAATCCTTGGAACCAAATTTTTAGAAGAGTCTTCTTCTTTCTAAATGGAATCTTTGTAAAATTGACCACTTTGGCCAATGAAGACATCAAACCAACATTTTTTTTTTTTTTTTTGATCAGCAACAAAAAAGATAAATTTTATTAAGGCCCAAGGCCAAAGAGAAGAGAGGATAAGGCATCCTCCACAATGAAGAAGAAAAAATACATCCAAAAAGACAACCACACCAAAAAAACAACCAAAACTACACAACTATACATCACAAACCGACACCCAATTTGAATCAATCAAAAAAAAAAGAATCCCTCGGAACACAGGACTTGCCGAGGCCCAAAAAGACGCCAAATAACACACTCTATCCCATAAATAATCTATATCCCTAGTTCCTCCTTCAAAAATACATCCATTCCTCTCCAACCAAATGACCCAAGAGATTGCAAAGACTACACTACTCCAAAGAACTTTAGCCCTCTTCGACCTTCCAAAGACTTGAAAATCAAATAATAGCATTTGAGCAAACCCTCTAGGAGCCACCCACTGTACATTGCCCAAACTAAACACCCTATTCCACAAAAAGTCCCGCCACCGAACAATGCAAAAAAAGATGATCCAAAGATTCTCCACTTTTGCAACACATTTTGCACCATTGAGGATTAAGATACCATGAAGGTCTCCTCTTTTGCAATGAATCATTTGTCAAAGTTCCCCCATGAACCAAAATCCACATGAAAACTTTCACCTTAAGAGGAGCACATGCCTTCCAGATCTTTTTGTGAAACAAAAACTGAGGTACATGCGGAATATCAATGATTTTGTCTAGAAAGGATTTACAAGTAAAAGAGCCCAACGAATGAATATTCCAAAACCAACGATCCTCCAAAATTAGAGACAAAGAAACATTTTCAAGCCTTGACAATAAAGATATCAACTCGGGAACTTCCCTATCATGAAGATTTCGGTAAAAATTAAAATTCCATGAACAAGGAGCCAACGAAGAGACAGCCACGGATGCAATAGAACAATTATAAGATTGAGAAGCTCTATACAAAAGTGGATAAGACTCAGCAAAGGACGAAGAACTCACCCAAACATCCTCCCAAAACCTTACTGTGTCCCCCCTCCCCACCCTCACAGAAATAAATTGGGACCAAATTGGATAAATATGAGAAATTGACTTCCATGGAGAACATCCATTACCCCTAGAAACCACCTGAGAGTCCCTACCATTAACATGCAACCCATATTTACTTTTGATAACTGCATGCCATAATGAACCATGCTCAATTGGGAATCTCCATAACCACTTGCCCAGCAAAGTCATGTTTCTAGCCAATATATTACCAACTGCCAAGCCCCCTTTCTCCTTTGGTAATGACACCGTTTCCCATTTCACCAAATGGTCTTTTCTTCCTTCTTCCTTTCCTTCCCACAGAAAATCCCTCATTAGCTTTTCTATGGATTTTGCTACCTTGACCAGAATCTTGAACAAAGACATGAAATAAATAGGGATCCCACTCAGCACTGTCTTAACCAAAGTGTATCTACCCCCACGGGACAAAAGAGCCCTACTCCACCCATCTAACCTCTTACCTATCCTTTCCACCACTGGATTCCAAAACATTTCACCTCTTGGGTTACCTCCCAGTGGGAGGCCTAAATACTTCATAGGAAATGTCTCAATCCCACATCCAAGTAATTCAGCCACCCTTTGAATCAAACTTGAATCAGCATTAATACCCGCTACCCTACTCTTTTCTAAGTTAACCTTAAGCCCTGAAATTGCCCCAAAAAGCCTTACTACTGAAAAAAGGTTTGCCATTTGGCACTCATCCCCCATAGAGAAGAAAATAGTGTCATCCGCAAATTGCAAATGCGACACACTAACCCTATCTCTACCAACCTGTAAACCTTCAAACAGGCCTACCTCTTTAGCTTTGTCAACCATCCTACCTAACACATCGACAACCAAAATGAATAGGAAAGGAGATAAAGGGTCTCCCTATCTCAAACCTCGCGAGATCTTAAAACATTTCCTTGATTTACCATTAACTATCACTGACATATTACAAGGCGCCAAACAACCCCTAATCCAAGCTCTCCATCTCGTGCCATACCCTTTCTTGTTTATCACGAAATCCAAAAAGCGCCAGTCTACATGATTATACGCTTTCTCAAAATCTTCCTTAAATACAATGCCTACCTTCCCCGACTTCCGACACTCCTATACCACCTCATTTGCCACCAGAACCACATCTAGAATCTGCCTACCTTGCACAAAAGCCCCTTGTGTCTGAGAGATTGTATCTCCTAAAGAACATCTCAACCTTTTTGAACCTTACCCAAAATCTTGTAAAGTGATGTAATCAAACTAATGGGCCTAAATTCTCCCATTCTAATGGCTCCATCCCTCTTAGGAATCAAACATATAAAGGTGGCATTTGTACATAAATTGACCACCCCTGTCTCGTAGAATTCCATGAAAACTCTAACCAGATCCTCTTTCACCACCTCCTAGCAATCTTGAAAAACAGCCATAGAAAAACCGTCTGGACCCGGAGCCTTGTCCCTTTCACACTCAAAAAACTGCTTCCCGAATCTCATATTCCTCAAAAAGTCGCTCTAACCACATCGCACTCTCTTAATCTATAGGCTGCCATTCAAGTCCATCTATCCCAGGCCTGACAATATCATCCGCCGAAAACAAGTTAGAATAAAAATCAAAAACCCCCTGAACTATTTGCTCCTCTCTATCCACCACTACACCTGGCCTTACTTCCAATTGCTTAATTAGTTTCTTCTTCCTTTTCCCATCCGCAATTCTATGAAAAAATTTTGAACTAACATCCCCTTCTTTTAGCCATTTCACCTTTGCTTTTTGTGCCCAAAAGATTTGCTCCCTAAGAGTCAACTCTTCAAATTTCAAACCTAACTCCCTCCTCTCTCCCCTCAATGCCTCAATTTCACTCCCCTGCATGTCTAAAGTATCTATCTCCTCAATCCTTCGCAAAACCTGACACTTAGTTGATTCCAAATTCCCGAAAATCTCCCTATTCCACTGTTTCACATTCTCTTTAATCACTTTCAACTTTCTCATGAATTTATAACCCTCCCACCCCCTGATATGTAGCAGCATTTCACCACTCCTCGAAGGCCTCTTTAAAAGAAAGATGTTCCAACCACATATTCTCAAATCTAAATGGAGCTGGACCCCACCTAAAAGGACAACTCTCACACATCACTGGACAATGATCAGATACCAATCTTGGTAATGCCTCCTGCCTGACATTGGGGAAAATCCCCTCCCACCCCAAAGAAAATAAAAATCCATCCAATCGACAACAGACCCGCCTTTCCCTTAAATTTGACCATGTGAATCTGGCATTAAAAAGAGGAGGGTCAACCAACTCACACCCTCTAATAAAACCATCAAAGTCTCTCATACTCCTATTGATTCCGTTCCCATTAAGCTTTTCTAAAACCTTCCTAACCACATTGAAATCCCCTCTTAAACACCAATTAGGATAACATAACCCAGATAAACCATATAACTCATCCCACCATTCCTTTCCTAGAAGGGCAATTTGGACCATATACCCCCGACAACCACCACTCACTGAGATCTAGATTCCTAAACCTAATTGACAGTGAAAACTCACCAACTACTGTTTCACACTCTGACACAACCCTCTCATCCCAAATAGTTAAAATACCTCATGACCTTCCCACTGATGACACAAAGGCCCACCTTTTATGCCTAGCTCCCCAAATACTCTTAATAAGAAATCTATCACAAACCTCTACTTTAGTTTCTCGAAAAATGACAATGTCAGGTTGATGTTTCCCCAAAAAATCCCTAATGATCCCCCTCTTCTTCCGGGATCCCAAACATTTTAGAACATTCTTGTTGTTCCAGTATAATGCTAAAAAAGGTGGGAGATTGTTGAGAACCTTGCTGAACAGAAAACTTTGGTACTTTCATAAAATCACTTTGGTTGTTTCTCAAACTTCCCTTCCAGTTGAAGAATCAATCAATAAGTGAAAAATAAACCTGACAACACATGAAACCTTCATACAAAGTTCATTTTGGAAAAACGAGGGTCAAGAAATTTAAAGTTCCTCAGATCTGACCACCAGAGCAAGCAATTTAGCCAATATGGCATCAACCATGTGTGTGATAACCTAAGAAAGAAATTTATTCCACCTCAAAATAATAACAATAAACCCATCAATAAGACATGCGTTTACATTTAAACCAACTGCATTCCTTTCATTCATTAGATTACCAAGACATAAGTATTACATGTTAACCTCATAACAAAATGCCCTACGGGCTTACAGCTTTCCAAGTTAACTAAACAAGATAATAGACAACTACCAACATCCACGGACACATGTCCGGATCACTGTACAACAAGGGTAAACCCGGGATCGCTATAGAAATTTATTCCATGAAGATCATAGTTTTAATAGGTTGCAATCACCTATCTCTGGAGGTATTGGAACTGTCTGATTTGAACCAGTTATACAGAAGTCGAGCAAGAAATGACAACTATACTCAACCTGCCAATTTGTTCTAAAATGCAAAAATAACCATAGGAGATTGGTTCCACCAATCCGGTATCAACCATGTTTATGAAAATCTTTACAAAAAACTAAGTCTTCCATAAAGATCACAGTTTAATTGTTCAAAGCCACCTACTTAGTGGCTTCAGAATAGTCCCGCTTTCAACTCATTCACACAGAATTGGTGTTCAAAGCCACCTACTTAGTGGCTTCAGAATAGTCCCACTTTCAACTCATTCACACAGAATTGGTGTAAGTAGACCCACCTGCCACTTGGCTCAACATTGCATAAGGAACAGTCTTTTCTAACTTTGACCATCGAATATTCTTCCACCTGCGCCAGCCAACAGAGTGTATCTCTAGTATTTGTGTTACAAGACATCTTGTAAAATTTGAAGCAGGAGATGTGTTCAAACTTCTGATCTCCCATGTTGAAGCTGCAAAAAAATATCATACACATCAGCAGCAACCAACTATTTAATTAGAAAATACAGTACACACACTCGTTAGACCATATCCAACGCTTACTCAAATGTTTCATCAAATTTGAATTTGATGAAAAATGTCAACTTTTTCCACTCCAACCGTTTCATCAACCTCATATCAAATGAAGGCAAGGGCATATTTTTCATCAAATCAAGGGAGCTTTTATCCTTTCATCAAATAGGTGACCATTGGTGAACGACCAAGTGGATGACTAGCCAGACGACCGGCCGGATTTGATGAAAAGTTCCGCTCACCATTGGAGTGCATCATATCAGATCAAGCTTTGCATCAAATTTTTACTTACATTTGATGAAAATTTTGAGTAAGCGTTGAAGACGCTCTTATGCATTCAAATTATCAGTATGATTTTATGAGAGTACTTGTGACGTAGTACATGAATTGACAGCTCTACTAGAAGGAAGCAGGAAATACCATTAAGCGGAAAAAAAAATAGAAAATTGGTCTAAGATATGAATTCGATTTTAAAACATCGGAGCAGGGGAGAAACAATATGCTGGTAAACTGTAAAAGCACACAGTTTTTCATTTTTCAGATGCAATTTCAAAGGGTTTCTGAATCAATCATCGACATGTCTCATGATAATCAGTCTACTAGGTATGTCACTCATAAGCCAATAGTCTGTGAGAGAACCAATCATGTAATGGTAAGACTATCACCTTGAAACAGAGGTGGTGATTTAAAAGAAGATAGTTACAGCATAAATTAAATTTGTAGATTGACTAAATTGTATTGTACAAAACTTTTTTTTAAAAAAAAGTTCTTCCTTGGTTGGTAATAATTTGAGCATGGTAGATAGCTATGCTCTAGCTTAGGGAAGCAGTGTCAAGAGTAATTTTATGAAACTAGGGTAAATTTTAGTTCCCCCATCTAAAATAGGAATAGAAAAGCTATCACTCCTGAATCCTGACGGCTCTCTCACTAGAAAACAAAAACAAGGATCAGCAAAATCTGAAATTAAAAAAAAAAATCTGCATGACTATCCTTTGAGAGTCCTTTTACTTTAGGAAACATACACAACTATGCAGTGGAAATGTCACTTAATGATGACAACAGCTCAAACTGATTCCAGAAGACAAAAGTTAGGCAAACTTTAAGCAGCAGTTGAAAGCATTGAGTACTTGAGGATAGTATTATATTTATATATGATATAAACATTAAGATAGAGTACAAGGGAGCTTCTTACGGTTAATTTCTGTTCGTCGATATCCTGATTTTGGAGGGTACTTTTTGTGTACAGTTGGAAACTGCAATATCGCTGCATCAATAAATGCATACTACTGTCAGTCAACATACATGTAAAATATCTTCATTCTTTTTAACAGAAATTGAAATAATTTTTTGGGTGTCATCGTGCGTAAAAGAAAATTGAATTTTAGCATGTTCAACCAAAACCATTATTGAGGCCAATACCAAATTTCAAGATACATAATAGCAATATGTGAACTATGATAGAATCCTCAATAACATGAATCTTACAAATAGAACAGGCTGGGCTTTTTGGCAACTAAGACACCAAAAAACAGAAGAAAAAAAAAATGAAGGAAAATGAAGCAGGTACAATAAAGAATTTTGTTCTGCATTCGAGGAACAACCAGCAATTACCAGAAGTGCTAGAATGTGGAAACAAATCACAAATATGACTCAATTTTTTAATCCAGACTAAAAATACTATACTACAGGAAGAAAATGCAAGCATTAAGGTACTACTGACCAACAAATTCTAAAGTAGGCACCATAGCTTGTTCTACTACTAAGCACCTTGATCAAATCAAGACACCTTGAGACCTTCCTAGTATAGATACAAAGTGCCAAGATTTCTTCCAACGTTCTACGAGTGGAAGGCAGCTCGTTGAAGATTCATAAAATTCAAATTTTGATTAAAAGAAAGAAAATTCTTCTGAATTGGTGTTACATGCAATGCATATAATTAGCCATAGCAGTCATGTAACATTTTCCCTTTAACTTAGTAGGACTCCTACAAACACACAACACCCCTAATGGATTTTCATTTCATTCACAATGCTCCAAGTCTATGAGCCACATTTTCCTCAATATCCCTCCCTCAAGAATGATTCATCGAAGATATTGTGATAATCACTTAAGAATCACTGGTCATCAAGTTTTACTCTATCTTCATTTTTGTTTTTAGTTTTGCTAAATTTACACTCAATATACTTTGTCTTTATCCTACTTAACCTAAAACCATGCACGTCTAAAGAATACTTGCATAGTTCTAACTTAGATTTCACTCCTATCCTTATTTAATTAACTAAAAATTATAATGTTTGAAAAGAACATACATCAAGGGATGTCTTCTTGAATGTTCTAGTAAGTTTATCCATAACTAATGTTAAATCAATAAAAATCTACTGGAATTGGATGAATAGGTGCATTAACCAGTCCCACTTTAAGACCACCAATTGCAAAAGTCCACAAGCCCCAACTCAACTGCTTACCGAAGACTCAACTCCACCACCATCTCTAACCTCTAAGAGCCACCGTTTATTACCTAGACAATAATGCTGCCACCACACTTCATAGTAACCTGCCTATTTGCCTCCAAAACCTGTCTCCATAAAGAAACTTGTGACAAGTATCTCATGAATATGATATCCATACCCAACAAAGCTTCATCGCCATGCCAGCCATACTATATAGAGAGAGGATGGAGGAAGTGATGGTGAGGGAACTTTGAGCCTACCTCATTGAAAGTAATCATATTGCTCCACATACACAAGATGCGACAAATTTTTGAACTTACCTTTATCCCACTAACACAAAAAACCTTGCATAAGATTGATACTTTCACCTGGTCCAAAGCCTCATGATGAGAATAAAATGCGAAGGAGAAAGGGTATTTCCTAGACACAACCTTCTAGAGGATCTAAAAAGACCAAAGGAAGAAGCACAAATTAGAAATCAAGACTGAGGATCAGATGTTGGAGATAACCAAGAAACTACTCTCTCTCTCTCTCTCTCTCTCTCTCTCTCTCACACACACACACATCTATTCAGGAACCCCTTCTTGCCAAGTAAACAGAGAAAAAATCAGTTCACATGACCCTCAGAAAATCTAAAGGTCATTGCCACTTTAGTCATCTGTCAACCAACTAAACCCAAGCATCCACGTCGTAGATCGGACCATTCTGATGTTAGTTTGTCCATGGCAACAGTATAATGGAGAAATGCAGCTATAAGCCTGTGATACATTGTGTATAAAAATGGCTATTGATAAATGTAATATTCGAATGGAGACTCTATTTTCCAATGTAGAAATAATAAAGGGAGAGACACTGCAGATAAAACGCACGTCATGATATCCATTGCATGTTGTTAAATGATCATACACAAAAGCAAACTTTATTACTGATTGATCTTTGTGGGGTGACACTACTTGTTCTCGATTGCTTTTGATTGATTTTATGAGCTTTGGCATTAGCAACAAAGCAAAAGTTTTATGGAAGAATAGTGCTTTACAAACACAAAGATTATACGGAATTATTATACAAAATGATGTGTCTTATTGTGATAGGTTCATTTAAAAAGATAAGGCTCATCATCATGAGCATAATTTACAAGTTTACCACTGCCACATCATTCTGGAAGTAAAATTTTGTATATGGTTGGAGCGCAATGGCAGGATTTTTTAGGATAAGTTTGATGATATTGACTCTTTATGTGATAGATTTTGTTATTTATCCTCTTTTTGGGCATCGATTTCTCCTCCTTTTAAGGGGATTCCATTATTTTTTCCTTCTATTGATTGGAGAGTGGAGTGTGACTTGACTTGTGGTTTGAGATTTTGATATGCTGGTTTTTGTTATTTTCTTTTGTTTTTGTCTTTGCTTATATGGACTCCCTGTCCCCTCTTTTTGTGCTTTTCTTTTCCTATTAATACTACTTTTGTTTTTTTTTTTTTATGACTTATTCCCCAAAAAAAAAAAAAAAGAAGAAAAAAAAAAAGAGTAAACATTCTTATGCATCATGCAATTGTTATTATACACATTCACATATAATAACTAGAATTCTAAAATCATGATCTCAATAGAAGTCTCTTACTATAAGTTCCATCTTGTCCTCGAAACCATTGCCTGGAGAAGACAAAATCCCTTTTAGATTGCCATCTGCAAAACATCTAGACCATAAGGTAGTGACAAAAGAAACAAGATAGAATTTAGAACAACTTTTACATGTTTAAGAAAAACTGATTTCCATAAATTAGTTCATTCGTATTCAAACACTCATTCTCATTCAAAGTAGGAAAAGAAGATATAACATGTGTGTTTACCAAGTCAAATTGCCTGTGAGCTCACAAAAGTTATGGACTCAGAATGGTAGGGCAGTTTGTCTTTTCATTTATTTGGAATTTCATTGTTTTGACAATTTCAATTAATTCAAATGGGGGTATTCCATTAATTACAAGTAATATTTAAGTAAATAGAAAGTTAACTGTGGGGTGTTAATAAAACCTGTGCCTTTAAACCTAGTTTGAAACAGGGTCGATTAGGCAACCCTAAAAGCCAACGTGTGAAGCATGCCAAGTGGCCAGTCGAGATGTTTTGTGTGGATTTTTAAAATTCCAGTACACAAAGAGACAATGATGAACTATCCCTGGCTTCCCTAGAGTCCTTAAGCACCTTAGAAACCTTGCTTACATATATTCATAGAATAATCTCATGATGATGAACTTTAATTTGTGAAAGCCTTCTGGTAGAATACTTATTTTTGTTCTTTTGTCCTCTTGTTAATATTTACGTAAGTTGAGGGTACGATGGTCATATTGCTATGTTAGGGTTTGTATATATATTTGGCTGATGTAAAGTTGAGAAACAATGATTATTCAATATATATAAAATTACTCTTTCTTCTTCTTCTTTTTCTTCCTCATAAATCCCAACCCTAAATTTCTTCATTTTAGAATCTAACTTGGTATCAGAGCAATCTATTCTTCTTCAAAAAGGTTTCTATAGACTCTGGAGTTCGATCTGAGATGACCGAGACGTGCTGATGTCATCAACCGTACGATGACATCGGCATGACGAAAGCACTATATGGACGTGTCTTTCACCCCTAGACTCAAAATTGCCTCCTGAGATTTATGGTGATTTTTGTAGAATTTTTTGATCATCCCTAATGTGAGTTTTCGATTTTTGAAAGTATTTCATGTTTTTTTAGACTTTTTCAAATCTGCTCTTAGGACTGTTTTTTGCTGAATCTACTTGCTGGAATTGTATCTCTAGGAGCCAACACTCCTTCCTTCAGTGTTATTTGCTATTATTTTGTTGATTTACTACTGTTGGGTTGATGTTTGATTCGTTTTTGGACTCTTTCGGGTACTATACATAATCGGCAGTGTTATTTTCCAACCTCTACCCACTGAAACTTACTGTATAGGGGCTGAAAATTATCTAGCAAGGTCTGGTTGATCTTAAAGTGTTGATTTGTGTTGGTGGGTTGACGTTTTTGGTTGAATTTGCGTCCAAATCTGTTTGGTAGACATAGGCTCTCCACTCATGCCTCTATATTCTTGGATTCTTGTTAATTGAACTATTTCCAGTGGCTATACTCATGGTTATAAGAGCTGATTGGTGTAGATAATTTCTATTTGCAAGATTTCTATTGCTTTCATACTCGTGTTGAGTATTTTGTGTGATTGATTGTCATGGCTGAAATTGAGAATAAGGCAATGGCCATGAGTAAAGATGATGACATGCCCAAATCTATTACTACCAAGAAGTTGCATGGTGCCAATTATTTAGCTTGGGTTCATGCTGTAAAAATTTTCTTACATGGTAAGAAGAAATCCCGCTTCATTAGCGAACTCCCTCCTACCACTTACGACAAAGCTTATGATGAATTGTGTAGTGATGATTCTTGTGTTATGGGTTGGATCTAGCATAGCTTGGAACCACAAGTTGCTACTACCGTGGAATTTTGTGATACCTCTAAGTAAATTTGAGACTTCCTTGCTGACTCCTTTTCGAATCAGAGTAATGTCTTTCGGATCTATGAGCTATATGAGCAAATTTTTGCTATGCGCCAATCTGGCCGGTCCCTTCCTGATTATTATAGCAGTCTCAAGACCTTGTGGGATCAGTTTTTGCAACATCAACCCTTCACTATTGATGTGAACAAACAGAAGCAACATTGGGAGGAGTTCATGATGGCTTCTTTACTCTCTAACTTAGATCTTGAATTGCGGGGGTTCAAGGATCAGATTCTTGCCAGTGAGACTTTACCTTCTGTTGCTAATGCCTATTCTCGACTGTTACGTTCTTCTTTGGGACAAGCACAATCTACCTCCGGGTCCTCTACCTTGTCATCTTCTGCATTAGTCTCAAGTAGTGTTGATCGTGGGTCTACTTGAAGGGGTTTTCTTGGCATATCTAGTCAACGGGGCTCTTATTCTGGTTCACGGGGTTCTCGTGGGCTGGTTCCCGTGGTGGTGGCTCCCGTGGTGGTTTCAGGGGTGGAGGTAGTAGTGGACCTAGTTCTCACACACGTGGTGATCGCAAGTGTACTCATTGTGGTTCCTAAGGTCATACTGAACCTTGGTGTTGGCAGAAGTATGGCAAACCTGACCATGTCCATCAGGTTATTGATGTTCCATCCTCACAGTCATCCTTGCTTTCCACTAGTTCTGTTGCTTCTCCAGTTGATAAACATGAGACACTCACTACTCAGATTAATGAGCTTACCGCTCTTGTCCAGTCTCTCCGACCTAGTCTACCTTCATCCTCTACCGCTACTATGGCTAGTTTAGGTAATATTGCATGTGTGGCTAAGTCCCCCCAGCCTTTGCTCCTAGACTCTGGTGCTAGTTCCCATGTTTCTGGTAATTCCTCTCTTTTTGATACTCTTAAATCTGTTGATCATACCATTATACTTGCTGATGGATCTTCTCGACCTGTCTGTGGTCAAGGTCCTCTTCATCCCACTCCATCCCACTCCATCCCTTTCCTTACCCTCTAGTCTTTATGTTCATAAGTTTCCATTTAATTTGCTTTATGTTAGCCAATTGACTCAAGCTCTCCATTGTTCGATAACATTTTCTCCTACATCATGTGTTTTGCAGGACCTCCAGACAAGAGGATAATTAGTTCGGGGCATGAGAAGGATGGCTTATACTTTTTGGACATTGAGACCTCTCTTCATCCTCCATCTGTTGTGTTGAGTGCTACTGTATCTCCTCTTCAGTGGCATTTTCGCTTGGGCCATCCCTCCTTGGCCAAGCTCAAGTTAGCTGTTCCGGGTTTGAGTCATGTTTCTCAGATTAAGTGTGAAGCCTGTCAATTTGGAAAGCATTACCGTAGTTCTTTCCCAGTCGTAGTGTTAGTTGTGTGTCTAAGTCGTTTGCTCCTGTCCATACAGATATTTGGGGTCCTTCTAGAACTCCCATTGTTAATGGTTTCTTTTATTTTGTTATTTTTGTGGATGATTACTCTCGGATGACTTCTTGTTCTTAATGAAACAAAGATCTGATTTGCCTTCCATCATCTCTACGTTTTATAATAAAATCTTCACTCAATTTGGCAAACATATTAAGATATTTCGGTCTAATAATGCCTTAGAATATGTACAATCTATTGTGACTACCTTTTGTGATACTCATGATATTATCCATCAAACTAGTTGTTCTCATACATCCCCTCAAAATGGTGTTGCAGAGCGAAAACATCGCCATTTGTTAGATGTTACTCGCACACTGATGTTTCATATACATGTCCCCAAACAGTTTTGGGGCGATGCAGTTCTCACCGCTTGTTTGCTTATCAATTGCATGCCGTCTAGTGTTATCCACCAATCTCCCTATTCTTTGTTACATCCCACAACATCTCCTTTTCCCTTGCCTCCTTGCACTTTTGGTTGTGTGGCCTTTGTCCATGTTCTTGACCCTGGTTTGGATAAGTAATCTCCTAGAGCACGCAAGTGTGTGTTCTTAGGCTATTCTTGCACTCAGAAAGGGTATCGTTGTTATCATCTTGAGTCACGTCGCTACTTTGTCAGTGTTGATGTTACCTTTTTAGAGTCTACTCCATTTTTTTCTTCCTCTGGGCAACAATTATCCACTGATCTTCTCTCTTATCATATGGGGGAGCCAGCCTCTCTCACTCCTACTCTTCCCACTTATGCTCCTTCCACATTCATTCCTATATCCTCTACCTCTCCTCTCGTTTCTACCCCTCCTTTGCAGGTTTATCACCGGTCTCAAGCTCGTCGCATTGTGTCTTATAACCCGACCAGTTCATCTCCTTCGTCTGAGGTCCCTGTTCCACCTATTGATATGCCATCGGATGACCTTCCTATTGCACTCTGCACAGGTAAACGAACTTGCACTCAACATCCTATTGCTAATTTCATTTCTTATGATTGCCTCTCTCCCGATCTTCACTTTTTTGCTTGTAGCTTGTCTAGTATTTCCATTCCCCACTCCTATCAGCAGGCTATGTCCATCTCTGGTTGGAAGCATGCCATGGATGAGGAAATGCATGCTCTTCATCAGAATCAGACGTGGGAACTTACCCCTCTGTTGTCTGGCAAATCTATTGTGGGTTGTCATTGGATTTATACTGTTAAGTATCTTCCTGATAGAACTATTGAGCGACTTAAGGCTCACCTGGTAGCTAAAGGCTACACCCAGACCTATGGTGTTGATTACTTGGAGACCTTCTCTCCTATGGCTCATCTTAACTCTGTTCGGATTCTTCTCTCTGTTGCAGTTAATAAGTCTTGGCCTTTATACTAACTTGATAGCAAGAATGCCTTTCTTCATGGTGATCTCCAAGAGGAGTTCTATATGGATCAGCCCCATGGCTATGTTGTTCTTGGCCAAGAGCATCTTGTTTGCTGATTGCGGAAGGCCTTGTATGGTCTTAAGCAGTCCCCTTGTGCCTGGTTTGATCGCTTCAGTGCTGTTTTGCTTGCCTATGGATTTCACCGTTCCACCTTCGATCACTCTGTTTTTGTTCATCACTCATCTACTGGGAGTATTGTTCTTATTGTCTATGTGGATGACATCATCATTTCAGGGAGTGACTCCAATGGTATTGCTGATTTGAAGTAGTATTTGGGACAACAATTTCACACCAAAGACTTGGGCCATCTTTTGTATTTTCTTGGGATAAAAGCTACCAGCTCTTCTCAAGGCTTGTTTCTTTCTCAACGGAAGTACGTTCTTGATCTTCTTACTAAGACTGGCCTCTTAGGCACTCGCCCCAATGATACTCCCATGGATTCTAGTGTCAAGCTTGATGGTGACACTGGAGACTTATTTCCCGATATTGGTCGTTATCATCGGTTGGTTGGGAAGTTAATCTATCTCACCGTCACTCGTCCCGATATTACCTATGCCATGGGTGTGGTCAGTCAATTTATGCATGCGCCAACCCCATTTTGTGATTGTGTGTCGTATCTTGCAATACTTGAAGAGTGCTCCAGGTCGGGGTTTGCTCTATCGCCCATCTTCCTCTATGTTTGTCACTGGCTTTAGTGATGCTGATTGGGCTGGTAATAAGACTGACCGACGTTCCACCTCGGGCTATTGCACTTTTGTTAATGGTAATCTTGTTACTTGGCGTAGCAAGAAACAGACTGTCGTTGCTCGTTCTAGTGCCGAGACTGAGTATCGTGCCATGGCTCATACTGTTTCTGAGATGCTTTTGGTTCAGTCTCTTTTCCAAGATTTTGGCTTTTTTGTTCCTACTCCTATGAGAATGTCTTGTGACAATCAGGCAGCTATCTTCGTTGCCAATAATCCCGTGTTTCATGAACGCACCAAACATATAGAAGTTAATTGCCATTTTATTCATGATCTCTTACTCCGAAAGCAACTTATGACCCCTTATGTTCGTTCTGCAAATCAATTGGGTGATATTCTAACCAAGCCGTTGGCTCAGTCTTCTTTTCATCGTTTATCCGTCAAACTGGACATGTTCGATCTCTATGCTCTAACTTGAGGGGGAGTGTTAGAATACTTATTTTTGTTCTTTTGTTCTCTTGTTAATATTTACGTAAGTTGAGGGTACGATGGTCATATTGCTATGTTAGGGTTTGCATATATATTTGGCTGATGTAAAGTTGAGAAACAATGATTATTCAATATATATAAAATTACTCTTTTTTCTTCTTCTTCTTCTTCCTCCTAAATCCCAACCCTAAATTCCTTCATTTTACAATCTAACTCCTTCTATGAGTGCTTCAACAAAAACCACAAATACGTCACTTAGGTCACTCTTCGTAGGGTTGAGCCAAAAAATTGAAAAATCACAAATTTATCCGATCCATGTCAAACTGCACAGTTTGATTTTCTCAATGCATGGTTGAATCCTGGTTCTTAAAATAGGCAAACCATACTTCACAGTTTGATTTAAATATTTATATATATGACACATAATAATTACTTATTTTTATATATGACATGATAATAAATACTATATTATATATTTTTCATGTGTCTCCCACGTGTTGTGTCCTACATTTTCCAAAAATTTTGCACGTCGATGTGTCCATGCCCATGTCCGTGCTTTAAGTTCTAAGCCATTTTTGTTTGTAAAATGATGGCATATTGCTTGATGTTTGGCATATTTTGTAATCATGCTGTGAATGATGACAAGATTTCTAAAAACCATAATTCCAAACTGAACCGACCTATGTTATACTGATTTGATTTGGTTCCAAATTTTATAGAACCGTAGGTAGTGGTAGTGGTAGTGGTAGTGGTAGTGTATCGGTCCTTGGTTTACTTCTAAAATGAAACAAACCAAACCATCTCACCCCTAACTCTTAGGTCCTACTTGGGAACCATGATTTTCAGCTAAAAAGCCAAAAAGCCACTACATGTTGTCACATCACTCTCTTTACTTTTTTGCACATATTTTCGTAAAAAACCAAAAAGTCAACTAAAATACCCACTTCCATTGGTTATTCCTACCAATTAATCGATTACTACTGAAACTACAAGAAGAGGAGATCTAGATAAGAGAAGGTGATCATATTTAAACCGTAGATAGACATGTTTGATTACTTTACCTTGAGAAATGTTGAGGATCATATGTACCATAGACAACATCATAGTGTCCATTCAACGAATCGATCGACTTTAAGTCACCAGTCAACATATCCCACCTGCAAAGATAATTGTTAGATTGGACAAATATAGTTATGCACCTCAAGAATTATGTGTGCAACTTACTCATATCTTTGATGTCGATCAACATTCAGAATCACCTCAAACACAATATCAGCATTTGCATTGACAACACCAACAGCCTTCACTAGAACACTTTTACCACTCTACCAAAAAATAAAAATAAAAAATAAAAAACTTTTGAAGCAAAAAGTAAAAATTTAACTGAGATTCTTCAAAATCTCTCCTATTCCAATTAAAGCAATATTATGATATCTAATCTCATTAAAACACAACAAAGTAGCTAGATGGAAAGATACTAACACAAAAAGCCCAATAAATTTCACAGACATTGACATGAGCTAGAAACAACGCATTTTGCATCTTAACATTTACCAACATATTAGGGGAAGATACATCATTTTACACAAACATTTCAGATCATTGAGGACAATACTTTAAGAAGAAGAAGAACAAACATAAAAAAAAAAAAAAAAAAAAAAAAGAAGCACAACTGAAACCCAAAAAGAATAATATTTTCTTCTACTCTGGCAACGAAAGTCGCTCTTCGTGTTCCTATTCCACATCATATTATACATGCTTAAAAAAATGTGGAGAATTTAAATGTTTCCTAAAAGGTGCAAATAAAAATAATTAAATAATCTTAGAATTAAATTTCATATCTGATAGCATGTCGTGCACAATGTTAAAAAACAAGAAGGGATAGAAGAGGTATAGAAAGTAATTGTAATAGCATAAGGGTTGTTAGATCACCACTAGTCCCAAAAGCTTAAGCAGTTAAAAAATGAACCCAACAATGCATATCAAGCTATCCACCACCCTCCCTCACATTCAACCCCATCATGGAGATGAAACATTCATTCATAGAGAGAACCATAATGCAAACGAAGAGACTTGAACCTAAGACCCTAGAAAGCACGGATACGGATACGATACGATACGGATACGGCGATACAGCAAAACCTAAAAAAGTAGGATACGGGTACGGGTACGGCTAGGATACGTTTGTAAAAAATAAAAAATAAAAAATAAATAAATTATTAGCAATGAGTTACACATAAGCACAAGAATGTTGAGAAATCATAGTAATTTTATAATGCAAAATACTAATCTTTAAGAATTGGGTATTAATTTAAGCTAATAGCTAGTTTAGTTTTTAAATTTTCAATAGGTCTTGCAAATATTTTATTTCAATATCAAGTCTAATATGTTGATATTATAATATCAAAACAATTCATAACTTGACCCTATGTTTTTTCCTTCTGCACTAGTCAAAAATATTCTATGCAAGTTTATTTTCTTATTTATTTATTGATATTTAATTTTACTATTGTTATATTATCTTATTAATCCTTACTTCTATGTAGTTATAGGGGACACGCATGATACAATGAAGATATGTCAATTTGATGAATTCTACTACTTTATCTTACTATGTTATTTTTATAAAACAACTAAGCAAAGTATTGTAAAAAAAAAAAAAAACTAAGCAAAGTATTGTAAAAATATTCTATTTATTCTCACAATTATATTATATCATGATGTTATGCAAGAAATAATACAATTCTAATTTCGTAAAAGGAGTAATACATGACTTGGAAGATTTGATACTTCAAAATTAATTAAGAAGTATCCGATAATATGTGAGTCAGAGTATCCGATACTTCAAAACTAAGTATCCGATACTTCAAAATTAATGAAAAATTAATTAAGAAGTATCCGATACTTTTAATAAGTATCTGATACGTATCCGTAAGTATCCGAGGAGTATCGGTATCCGATACGGATACGTCTTCCTATTTGAAGTATCCGTGCTTCATAGCTAAGACCTTTCCAAGGGCCCAACCTAAGCTCGGATACCAAGTTAGATGACAACTAATCTCAAAAGTTTAATGTACATCAAACTATCATATATGAGCAAAGGTAACATGACAATGTATATATTATAAATGTATGAGAAACATAACTTCCCGATTTTAAAAATGTTAATTAGGAGAAAACTAATTAACCTAAGTTACCCACCCAAAAAAAATTAACCTAAGTTTGATATTTTAATAGGAAATTTCTCCGGTGTGCAATGCAAACCGTATGCAACCTTACCACAAAATTACGTAAGTTTTCACGAACTTACATAAGTAATCTCACAAAAATGTGTAAGTTGAACACAAATTTGCGTAAACCTTAAGTTTTCACGAACTTATGCAATTTGTGTTCGACTTAGACATTTTTGTAAGATTATTTAATTAAATTCGTAAGAACTTACGTAATTTTGTGGTAGGGTTACATACAGTGTGCATTCCAAGCTACATGTCTAAAAGAAATTCCATCATCTAACACCGGAGGCTACTCCACTAAACTACGTAGTGTCGAAGGGTCTAACCTATAGATAGTGGCAATCATTATCTCCATTAAGCTTATCGGACCACAATATTGGCCGTAAGCCTACAACCTGGACCAAGCCCGTAAAATTGATCAATCATTTTTTTAAGCAAATACTTGGATGGAGTCGGTTTTGTTTAAGAATTTAAATCAACACACACACACACACACATATATATATATATATAGAGAGAGAGAGAGAGAGAGAGAGACGAGGAGGAGGAGGAGGAGGAGGAGCGTTTCTCTCTAGAACTAGGGCCGGTGAAGGTGGTGGTGATGGGGTGGAGGCGAAGAGACTAGGGTTTGAAAGGTATGGGTGTAAGGAGAAGAGTCAATGGTAAGGATGAGAGTAAAACTGGTATTATGAAAATTGTAAAAAAATAAAATAAAATTTTAATATTTTAAGAGTGTAAGGAGATAGTTTTGTGGTGTAACTAGAATCACTCTTCTCAATATTCCTCTTTCTAGAAAATTTTACCAAATTGCCCCTATGGCTATAACATAGAATATACTCATAAGTGTAAAGTAACCATTTGTCACTAAGGACCAAAAAACCCCAAAGGGACCAAGTTACCATTTTACCCTTAGTTATCCCCAAGTTAATTTCTTACATGGAAAATTCAATAAAAAAAAATACCAATGATATTCCCAAATGACCATTTTAACCCTAAAGGGCCAAAATTATCATTTTGCCCTCACAAGCCCCACATTCATTAAATATTCCAAATAGGCCATTTAAATAACTTAAAGCCTCTAAACATCATTAAAATATACATTTTAAGGAAACTAATAAGCAAAACTAACTTTAAAAAACATGTTAAAAATACCAAATCAACCTCATATCATGCCATCCTTTAAACTAGATCATATTAGCCCATGATTAAACTAACTACACCACTTTCTCCAAATTCTCTACACATTCTAGATTTACAAAAATCTCAAAGTTAGCTAAACAACATAATTTTTATAAAAAAAATATATAATATGCAGGGATAACAGTTTTTAAGGTTTAACCATGAAAAGCCCTAAGTTTATATTTTATGATTTTTCATATTTCATGATTTTATGATTTTAAGCAAAGCATGACAATATTCATATCAAAACTCATTAAATCTCATACCAAGAACACTGTTTAGGATTTCAACTCAAAATTACAACACTAGCTCAAAATTAATAGAAATAGCATGGCATGAACATGTTCCCTTGATTTCATGATTAGGGTTTCAAAATAAAGAGATGGAAGCATGTGATTTCATGTATTAACCCAAACAAGGAATAAATACACAAATAAAGCATGCTAATCATCTTTTAATTAAGTCATGATCAACAAAATAAACTCTAATATGCTTCTAAGGTAAGAGAAGAGAGAACCCCTACTTGTAATGAACCTTTAATCAAGAAAATGAGAGAGATGAAATGGCAGGATGGTGAAGCTCCAAGAATACCAAGTTGTTCTGCAAGTAGTCTTCAAATCAAGCTCCAAAATGACAACCCAAGCACTCAAATCACCCACTAACTGGTGTAATATGGAGCCTAGCTCACTAATCTCTCACAACTCAACAATGTTGGACCAAAGCATAAAGATTCAAGCTTGAATTTGAATCTTAGAGAGAAGTTGAAACAAATTGTGAGAGAGAGAGGGGGGGGGGGACAATTTTGGTGGTGTGAAATGAAGGACAAAAGTCTTTTAGGTGGAAGACTACGGTTGTAATACTTTGGGTCTAAACCCGCCCCAAATTACCCGTATTCATTTGATGTTGGGCATGATCCTTTTACTCTTATGTTTAGATTGATTTGTTTGTGTCGTATCAAATACGTTGTTAATGTTTTTAATACAATGAATTGTTTCGAGAATTGAGAAAATGATGTTGTTAGTTCTTGTGAATTGGAGAGTAGAAACCACACTTTTCTATGCAAGCAATCGATCGCCACACTTTCATTTTTGTTTTGACTAATTTTCAGTAGCTAGCAATTGATAGGCGATCGATCGCTTCGATTGTGTATATTTTAGACTTTCCAAACAGTAGTTAGCGATTGACAAGAGATCAATTGCGCAAGCGATTGCTTCTTGAGTAGAGACTATCGATCGAGGGATCAATCAAAGCTTTCAAAATTTGAAAGCGATGAATCACACTTCAGTGGTGATCGATCGCCTGCTTGAAATATCTAGTTCTGCAACTTTATTTCCCTCTCTCTCATCATTTATTCTCTTTTCTCTCTATCTCTTTTTCCACTCTACCATAACTCACCATAAATCTCTAAGATTAGGAGCCTTAGAGTTAAAGAAGATCAAAAACCCGAGCATTAACATCATAAAGCTTGGTAGGGGTGCTCAGTGGATATATCGATTCACCCAAACTGACCGAAGCAAACCGATCCACTCCATTTTGGACGGATGCGTGATGACAAGCGGATGTATACAAATTGATTTTTCCCAATCCGCCTAGTTTTGGACGGATAGCAGATTGGAGGTTCCCTGGCTGCAATCGAACTGCAAGAACCCAACCAAATTCTATTTTTGAAATACTCACCTACTATTCTATTACTTTTTATTTATTTATCTTTCTTTTTTAACCTATACACAAATATAAATATATATATGTACACACCTGGGTATGTATGTATGTATATACTCTCTGCTTTTTGTAATTTGGACAGCTTCTCTCAAACAACTGCCAGGTAATCTCTTTTGGCTTTTCGCAGTCATTGTTAAGATAGAGGTTTGTTGGATTATTATCCATATTTGTAGTCATTATTTATAAGACAG